GTAAATGGTAAATATTTGAAAAAGTACAAACCTACACTCCAAGAGATAAAAATAAATAACAAGTAACGACTAAATTAACCATAAAGAAGCCAAAATGGAAAGTTTTTATAAATTAGCCAAAATGGCAATGTTGTCGAATACATATTACAAAATATGGTTAAAAGGCTGAATCAATCAGAAGGGGATGGAGTCCTTGAGTCGAAGGTATTTGGTTTGCTGCAGCTCCAATCTTTTGTTGCACAAGGCATTCGCCTGCGCAAGCTTGGCAATTTGATCGTCGAAGGCTTGAGCTTTCTCAGCAAATTCTAGGCCTTGTGTGATTTCAGCTTGACTTTCGGTGTCTGGAACAGTCGAGAGAAGCTCCTCCTTGCGCTTAGTATTGGCATTTATCTTAGCCTCTATTTCTTTGATTTGCGCCTGGAGGGAAGCATTCTCTCGATCGATGGCATCAACTTCTTCTTGTTTAGATGCTTTTTGCTTCGACAACTCCGCAATTCGAGAAGTTTTCTCTGCTACAGCAGTCCATGCAGAAGAGCTTTTGCCATATAACACTTCAAGCTGGCTATTAAAGCCCCTTTGTCGCCGATAATCTGCTGAGACTTGATCAATAATGGAGTGTAACTCCATGATAAAGCCTGAAACTTCTGGAGGCACAGCTAACAAGTCTACGGCATTCAAAACAGTCCCCAAGTAGGATGGAGCAGTAGGGTCCCCCTCCAAAGCTTTCATCAAGTCCTTCTTAAAAAACTGAGCCTTAACCTTCGTCAAAGCCTCATCGAGAGGAGAAGTTTCAGTGGACTTCCCCGACAGAGTAGGAGCCTCCTGACTAACATCAGACGAACTTTTGCTCTCGATGATGGCATTCAGATAGCCAACAGGATCAGTTTGTTTCAGGAGTTCTAAGTCTTCTTTCGACCTATGCTTTGTTGAGGTGACAGCCTTTGCAACAGCGTTGTCTTGGATTTGAGGCTGTTGAGTAGAATTTGCCTCGACTTGACTCTCTTCGACTCGGACTGTGGCAGTACCAGCGTCATCATGGTTCCCTTCGCCAGCTTCGCCTTGATCCTCTTCGCCAGCGTCACCGCGGTCCCCTTCGTCACGATTTTCTTCCGACAGATCCACCACCTGAGTCTCTTTTGGTTGTTGCTCTTCTGTTTGTGGATCCTCTGTTGGTTTTTCTGCTGTCTCAGCATTGGCTTCATTTATTTCAGTATTGGCTTCATCGTTCGCCAAGTCTTTTTCTTGTGGCCTGCTGAGTTCAGCAGAATCCAATGTTTCAGAAGTCCTTGGCGTTGAGCTTTCAGTGGTGTCCTGAAAAGAGAAGAAGAAGAATCTTCTAAATTCGAAAGAGACATAATCGAACGTAGGTATCGACACCTGAGTTACAAAGGGATCAAAGAGATTACCTGTAAAGTAGCTTCAGCCCCAGGGCTGGAATTGTCGCTTTCGACAGGTTTATTGAGAAGAACATTTAATTCCTCCTCCGTTGGCTCCTCAATGATTACTGGAGGTGGCCTGGGCTTTCTCCCAGCAACCTTTATTCTGATTGTTCGAGCTTCAGGAAGAGGAACGTCCTTCTTCAGCTTTCGCCTTTTTAGAGGGGCAGGGGGAGAATCATCTTCTTCGTCACTCCCGGATTCGACCGTCAGTGCTGGCCGTTTCTTGGGCGAAGATGCCTAAAAAACCAATTGGAGTTTGATTTAGAAGTTGCATCGAAAGTCAAAAAGTTAAAGCCAGAAGAAAATAATGAAAGTCTGGTTACCGATGCAGAAGGCTTTTTCGAAGGGCCTTCCCCCTGTTGGTTTGTTGTGGTCTTCGCCGGCGCTGTAGTCTTCGCCGGTGGTGGAGGTTTTGTTAAGGGGCCTCCTCCCTGTTGGCCTTCTGCAGCCTTCTTGGCTGCAGGCTTTCGAACAACTGAAAGTAGACAAAATAAGTAACAGGCCACCAGTCGAAAGAGAAAGACAAAGTAATTTGGAAGGATGAACTTACATTTCTTTATTTTGTCCAAGACAAGGACAAAGGATTTCTGAAGCTCATCCACGAAGTCCTTCTCGTCGAAAAACTCCTCAGCGTAGTAACTTTTCCACCACTCCTCGAAGGATGGTGAGCAGAGAAAGTTAAGCTGATAGTCAAACAACGAAAGAACTGTTCGACCAGCATATCTGCCGATATGCTTAGTGGCAGCGTCTTCAGTGTAGTCGTTGCAGAAGTATAACATAGATTTCTCCCTGGGAAAAATTGGAGAAGGCAGTGTTTGGATAATACCAAACTGGCGAGACACCAGGTTTGGTTGATACGCGATCAGACTCAAGTGAGTCTTAGAGCTCTTGAATCGCAGGGGCATTATTCTTGGTGTGAGAAATGCCTCCCACACTGTTGTATGTTCGTCGACCTGAGGACCGCTCGACGTCCTAGGATGTGGCCTTGTGAACCACTCTGGGCCAACCTTTCGTCGAGCAAACGGAGCCATGGTCGAAGCAAACTCTTTCCTTTTAGCAAACATCAAGACGAAGTTTGTAAAAGTTTGTTGAAGCTCCAGCCCATCTTCCGTTGGAGTCAACAGAGCCAATCTGGTTCCTTCGACGCATCTGTTTGCTATTTCTGGAGCCTGCTCATTTATTTGAGTCTTCTTAGGCAAGAAAGACTCGAAGGTGGCATTGAGCCACAGCTGAAGCAGCCAAAAAGGTCCAGCAAGCAGCAGACTGGCTCTGTTCTCGATGATCTTCAGAAGAGTCGCTCCGTTGCTAATCGACTCGTACAGACTCGCCAAAATCAATTCTGCCAAACAGATATTTTGGCCATGGTGGAGTTGAGTGGCGAGAGTGACCATCTTCTTGGTCACCTGTAAAGACTTGGAGCAAAACACAAAGCGTGTCAGCCATAAGGCTAGAAACGCAATATGTTCGACATCCGACACAGCATCTGTCGACTTATCGTGGTAGTGATTGATGAAGGTGGTGTAGGTTGGTTTTGTGGCAGAGAATCCAATCTGATCCTCCGACATTTCCTCCGGGTCGAAGTAATCCCCAGTGGGTCGAAGGCCAGTGATTGCGGCCACGTCGAAGAGCGTGGGAGTCAGCATTCCACAAGGAAGATGGAAGGTGAAATGGGTGTAATCCCAGAAGAGTAAAGAAGCTATCAACATCTCTGGGGAATAGTTAAGACCTGTCTTCGACAGCATAACCAGGTCGAATATCCCCATGTCTTTCCAGATTGAAGCCTGGCGTTTCTCCATTTTTTCCAGCCAAGCGCTATAATCAGGAGTGAGGCTAGGGCCAGACCTGAAAGCCCTAACACCTTTATTGAAGAAACGGAGGTCGATTTTCTCCTTAGCAGGATCCTCATTATCCTCTGCATCTTTCTTGGAGCATCCAACCGGTTTGAGTCTCTCAAGTACCGGAAAGTAACTTTTGATCTTCATGGCCTCAGCAATGCTTGGGTATAATGGGCCAGACATAGCAAATATTTGGTTGGAATATCCAACCGGAATCATGAGGTGGCGTGAATAAGCATCACGTACAGCAATGTCCAAAGGCTCAGGGACCCTTCGTTGACCCGTGGGAGTCACTACGGGAGCGGTGGAGAAAATCCTAGGTTTGACATTTCCAGAGGGAGTGTTGGCGCTAGGAGCGTTGGAAGAACCAGATGCCATTGTTGGTACTAAGGTTGAAGACGAAGTGAAGAACAGGGGGTTTGCAAAGTTGACAAGAGTTTGTATGCAAATGAGGAATTCTGAAAGCGAGGTAGCGTAAAAAGTCCCACAATGGGTACTTACCGCTATTTATAGTAGTTGGGGAAATCCCCAAATTCGAGGACATTAAATGCCATTTAATGTTGCAGAAGGTAGTGGGACACGTGGCGTTTCCTTGTTGTTGTAGTCGTTCTGCAGAAATGGAAGGGTGCAGCGTGCGCCCTCGTTTTTGGGAATTGTCATGATGACAATTTGTGAAAAGACGTTTGGCACACTGCACGCCGTACTGAAGTGACGTCTTAGGTACGGATGAATGATGGCTTTTCCTTGGGATTGTCAGTGGTTGGTAGAAGACAACAAAAAGTGCACAATTTAATTTGTGACTAAGAATGAAAAGACAGGTGTCGAATGGCATTTCAAAGAATGCCTTTTTCTTTCAGAGTCGAAATAAGGCATTCTTGGGGGGCAATTTGTTGGCTCCTAAATTCGACACCCTTGTTTTACTAGTATCAGTCATTAAAGCTGAAGGATGTTTTTGACCAGCTGGGTCCGTCGAAATGCCCATCGAAAGATGGCAATGTACTTAGAGGATTTCTTCCAAGGGAGAAGTTGGTTGCCTTTGATGTCGAAGGTGTTTCTCGTCGAAGATGCTTCTCGACGAAGGTGTTCGATGGTTCAGAGTGGAACGGTTTGAAATTCAAGCGTTTGGAGGGAAAACGGTTTCCAGCGGTTACCAAGTGCAACGTGCAAAGATCTGGAGCGTCGAACGCTGAGAACGTGCCAAGTGGAGTCATCTCGAAGCAGTGTAACTGCCCGACGGTTACTTGGGATGTTTTAGTATAAATAGTAGTAGTTCACACAGTTTCTCGCGTGTGTTCACAATTATATACAAAGTCACTCATATAGATTCGAGTACCCAGCGTGTGAGAAAGAATTGTTGAGAATGTATGTGTGAAACACCACTTTTATTAATCAAAGTCATTTACTTTTCCAGAAACTTTACTTGCTTTCTTCTTTACTTTTCCTGTCAAAGCCCTTTATTTCAAGCCTTCATTTATTTTATCAAAGTCCTTCTTCATGCAATTTACTTAAAGCCTCTTTATTTTCTTGTCATTTAACCATTATCCAATTTAATCAAAACCTCAAAATCAACCTATGTCTTAGGATCAATCTGATCGATCCTGCGAGTAACCAAATAAGTAACCATTTGGAGGATCAGCGGTTGTTTACCAATAACCACGGTAAACACTACCTTGTTCACATTGTCTCTTCCCAAGGTGTGCATGCTGATCCTAGCAAACTTGAAGCTATGAAAAAATGGCCTATTCCTACGACAGTGAAGCAACTCCGAGGTTTTTTGGGTCTTACCGGCTACTACCGTCGGTTTATAGCTAACTATGCGAGTATTGCAGCCCCTTTAACTGATCTTTTATGCCACGATGCTTTTGAGTGGACTGCAGCTGCAGACTCGGCTTTCCTCACTCTAAAAGCAGCCATGATGGTCGCCCCAGTACTTCGCCTTCCAGATTTTGCACAAGAATTCATCATTGAGACTGATGCATCGAATTTGGGGATTGGTGCTGTTCTAATGCAAGAGGGTCGTCCAATTGCTTTCTTTAGTAAAAAGTTGGGTCCTAAAATGCGTGCAGCCTCGGTTTACATCAAAGAATTACATGCCATTACGGAGGCTGTTTTGAAGTGGAGACAATACTTGCTTGGTCATTATTTTGTGATTCGGACTGATCACAAAAGCATTCGTGAACTACTCCAACAAGTTATCCAAACACCAGATCAACAAGTGTATGTTCGCAAATTGTTGGGATTTCAATTTCGAATTGAATACAAGCCGGGTGCCTCTAATAAAGTTGCAGATGCATTGTCACGTGTGCCGGCTGAGTGGCCTGAGGATTCTGTGACCAATTCTCCAGCATTTCAGGCATTGGTCTCTCAACCCACCTTCTCTATTATTCAGCAGTTGCAAAATGAGAACACGACAGACCCCTTTCTGGTGGAATTACACAACAAACAGCTCATGGGTACTCTCTCTTATCCGTTCTCGGTTGTGCATGGTTTAGTTGTTCACAAAGGTCGATATGTACTTGGTCCTACATCTCGTTTGTGTTTAAGTATTATTAGTGAATTCCATGACACTCCAAGTGGAGGACATGCTGGTGTAAAGCGCACGTTAGCCCGCATTGCAGCTAATTTTTTTCTGGCCTAAGATGCGTAAATCTGTTGAGGATTTCATTGCTTCTTGCCTCACTTGTCAACAGATCAAATACTCGACTCAAGTTCCGGCGGGATTATTATAACCACTTCCCATTCCAGAGTGTGTGTGGGAAGATGTCACAATGGATTTTATTACCAGCCTTCCTCCCTCTCACAACTCCACTGTCATTTTTGTGGTAGTTGACCGTTTGTCTAAATCGGCTCATTTTGGAAATCTCCCTACTGCATTTACAGCTTCCAAAGTAGCAGAATTATTTGTCTCATTGGTTGTTAAACTTCATGGCTTCCCATGTTCCATTGTGTCCGATAGAAACCCGGTGTTTTTGAGCACTTTTTGGCGGAAACTCTTTGAGTTAAGTGGCACTAAGTTGACTATGAGTAATGCTTATCACCCACAAACAGATGGCCAATATGAAGTGGTTAACCGCTGCCTTGAACAATACCTTCGCGCTTTTACTCAAGAGAAACCGTATTCATGGGTTACCTTATTACCATGGGATGAGTTGCACTATAACACCAGCTACCACAGCAGCTTAAAAATGTCCCCGTTTCAGGCCTTGTATGGTCGCACTCCTCCATTTATCCCCATGTACACTCGAGGCTCCACTACCATTGCCGCTCTTGATGAATCTTTGTTGGAGCGTGATGAACTGTTACGTGTTCTCAAAGCCAATTTATTAGCTGCTCAACACAAAATGGTTCAACAGGCCAATGCACATCGTCGCGACTTGCAGTTTGCTATCGGTGACTTAGTTCTGGTGCGGTTAAAACCTTACAAGCAGATTTCAGTTCGACAACAGCGCCAACACAAATTATCAAAGAAATTTTATGGGCCTTTTGAGATCGTTGAATGCATTGGAAAGGTGGCTTATCGTCTTCAGTTACCACCGGAGAGTCGTATCCATCCAGTTTTTCATGTTTCAAACTTGAAGCCGTTTCGCGGATCTGCCGTACCCTTTCCTCATGTTTTACCTCCTGATAGTGTATCTAACCAGCCTGTTGAGATTCCGGTAAGAATTGCTGCAACTCGTACTGTGTTAGTTAATGGCGTTCCACAGCAGCAAGTGCTCGTGCAGTGGGCTAATTGTCCACCGGATGAAGCCTCATGGGAAGATTTCGAGCATTTTCAAGCTGCTTTTCCATCCTTCCACCTTGAGGACAAGGTGGTATTTGAAGCGGCGGGGAATGATACAAGCCCAAGTCAAGAAGAGCCATCCAACACCATTGTAAGTGAGGAATGGACTAATGGGCTTGGCAAGAGACAAGTACGTAGGCCCAAATGGATGGAAGACTTTATTTGCAACCCATGATTCTAGAACCTTGGTGACATCAGCAACAGCTAGATTTTTATTCCTCATTCTGTTTGTTATTTCCACTCTCCGTTTTTTGCGCTTGTTGGTTAGAAGGTTGTGAGCAACCAATCCTTATTAATACAAGTGTAATAGCAAATCTAAGGCATGCTGAAAATCAATAAGAACTCTCTCTTTCTGAACTTTTTCTCTCCTTCCTTAATTTTCTTGGAGTCTACACTCACTCGAAGAGTGCTATCTTTGAACACTTAGCAGGCTAGGTGTATCAGCATTGGACATAATGTATGAACTAAAAGAGGTTTTTGGTTGCTTGATTATCAAACAATTGTTACAAATTTTCTTTGGGATCACAATTGAATGAAGACCAAGTACCATATATTTTGATCTAAATAGGCTTAAATCCTTGAAATTTAAGTGGCCTAACCTTAGGTTCCATAACTATGAATCATCTGATAATGTAGCAGTAGAAAAAAAATTGAGATTCAATAAAGGTTAGGTTTATCTTGAAGGTCCTGTCACTGGCCAATGGAGATTTCATGATAATTCTTTCAATTGTGTCATAGATCTCCAGAAAACCGTTAATCATGTGCATTGAGAATCCTTTTTACAAGAGCTTTCCCATACTGATCAAGTTACTCTTCATTCCAAGAACATAAAGCACATATGAGATCACATCTTTCCTTCCATCTTGCTTTGTGATTAACACATTTCCAGCACCCTCAGCCTCGATAACTCTGTTATTTGCAAACCTTATAGTTCTTTTCTTCTTTGAATCAAAATTAACAATCCAATCACGATGACATGTCATGTGATTTGAATACCCATAATCAATATACAAAGTTTTATAGTTGTGAGATTTTGGATTGGTGATTATCATCAACATCAAAGGTTGTTCTTCAAGATTTGCTTCATTATCTTCTTTGGTCATGTGTGCATGATGATCACTATGTGATAGAATCCTTTGATGATGTGTGTGGGTTGATTCCGCTACACATTTTATGGAAAAATATCCAATCCGAATACAATTGAAATATTTAATTATTTTTCGGTTAACACCTATTTTTTCCTCGCGAGTTACTGAAAATCCTTCTTTTATTGGAGCTTTCTGGTTGATCTTGATCAATCTTTCCTTGATTTTGGATTTGAATCTTTCTTCCAAAGCCACCTCTAGAATCTTTCACACAACCTCGACCTCTGATTTCCTTTGGAGTTATAGTGTAACGCCCCATTTAAATATTTAGTCATTTGATGATTGAATTTGTAGAACTATGTTGGCTTGACTAAGGGGGTGTGACAATTTAGTATGATTCGATAATTGGAGTAAGCTTTAAATAATATTATAATAATAATAATTCTGGTGAAAGAAGACATATCCCATTATTATTAATAAAAATATCATTTTTGGTTAAATGGTGTATGTGCCACTAATGATATTATTATTATTAATATTATAACTATTATTATTATTGTTGGTAAATAATAAGGAATAATCAGGAGAGTGGTAGAAGGAATTGAGAGATTTGTTTTCATGTGAAAAGAAGGGAAGAGAGAGGAATAGGAGCTAGGGCAGGAGGGAAACAAGAGGAATTCCCACCATTGTTGAAGATTTAAGCTCCAAATTGAGGTAAGGGGGAGAACAAGTTCTTTAAATGGTGATTATAACATGAGAGGGTAGTGAGGGTTCTTTTCCCTGTTAGGGTTTTGTGTAAATTTGGTGTATTATGATTCCTTTTGTTGATTGATGAAATATCTATGTAATTATATGTAAAATTGGGAATATTTTGATGTCCATGGTATGATTATTATTGATAACAGTTGGTTCAGTGTGCCATGGATTGCAAAAGTGCACGTGTTGGTAGAACTGTGTGGTTTTCTGATTCTGAAGATAATGCGGATTCGAGATTCATGTATAAGGTTCAGGTTGTAGTGTCTTTGGGAGGGAGTGATCACGTACTTGTGTTGTTCGCATCTCTAGTAGTAGATGACGATGTTATGGCTAATGATGTGCCAGTTGTGTGTGGGTCCTGATGCTTTCTCGGGGATGATTGCGACTTGTTATTAGAGCGAGATTTTGGATTGACATGAGATGATCTTTGAGGGTGAATGATTTAGAGTGGAACCGGGTGCTTTGGAATTATGTTGTTGAGTCGATGCAGGCTCTTCTGTCTAAGCAATATTGTGAATTCAAGGTTCTGGTCTATTGGACGATTGAGGCGTCTCTGAGAGAAGATGGTCAAGTATTATTGGTGGCTGCTTCATAGGGAATATAGAGAAATGTGATGGCTAGTTACACATCAGTGGTGTGTACCTTTTGGATGTTTCAGAGATATCTGCTAAGCAAGTAGGATAACTTCTAGGAGATGAGGATATTTGGAGAACAACTTTTAGAACTCTGTGTAGGCATTGTAAATTTTTTGATCAGTTGTTATGGTGTTTATTATGGACATTCTAATTTATTCCAAGTCGAAATAAGAGCAGGTGGAACAATTGTGAACTGTATTACGAGCGTTGAAGGAGAAGAAACTGTATACTAAGTGGTCAAGGTGTGAATGTTGATTTAAGAAGGTGAGTTCCTTAAGCGTATTGTTTCAGGTAAGGATAATTATGGATCCGTACAAAGTAGATAGATGTGGTTATATGTTGAGAGTTTCCAAAGTTGGATACGGAGATTAGAAGCTCTTTGGACTTAGTTGGTTACTATTGCATTTTGTGAAACAAAGTAAGGTGTTAGTTAGAGATGAGGTCAAGTGCGATAAGTTGGTAATGAACAAATGGAGGAAATGAAATGTTTGGTGTTAAGAAAAATGTGTTAAGAAAGTGTTGTAGGATCACATGTAGGTGCAATTTATGCCAATTGAGAATGGTTAGAGTGGAGGGACCCTTGAGGAAAAGAGAAAGTTAAATGGTAAGATGGAATGTGAGTCATTGAAGACATGATAGCGAATATATGTCAGGAAAAGTTGATAAGTTTTTATCACCAACTAAGTGACGAGATGGTATTATTGAGATTGTGATTGGAATGAAAGGTGGAAATATATGGATTCTTGATGTTGCGGGATTTGAAGGAAAACCAAGAATTTAGGAATGTTGTTAGAATCCTTTATATGGATAAAGACTTAGAATAGAGCAGAATGATTTGTAATGTATTTGGTATGCTAACAGGTCTTGAGTTAGAAAATTCTTAATCATCGTGGGATGATAAGTGAGTGAGAAATGGGCTATGTAATGTGTTGGACGATGGTGTCTCATCGACGAGATCGAATGAGAAAGAAATTGTGTAGGCACTTGTAAATCTCAAAGGAGATTATTTGGATTGTGGTGCTTTAGGTGATTTTGAGTGCAAGTTCTAAAGAAATACTATTATAGTTAGTAATGATGGTTTATGCCCATCATGGTTGTCAGCTACTTATTGACAAATTGAGGAAATGATCACCCTCAATCTATTGTTGGCAGTAGACGAGATTATGTTGGACAGGATGGACTTGTCTTGCCAGCTTGATGGTGCGTAAAGTGACTGACATTTTACTGAGAGGGTAGTCTTTCATCATTTCGTGAGAGCCTAATAGAAAATCAGATATGAAAGAGTTTGGATTTATTGAACAGTTCGGAGACTTGAGTTGTATACGACCTAACGTCGCAGAGTTGGAGGTTGAGGATATAAAAGGTGAGTAGTGATTTTCTG